CGCGTGATATATGTAGATCATGAGCCGGACTGGGTCTAGTCCCAGACCAGGGACCAGAGAAATAGGCCTGACCCACCATTGACTCGACATTGTCCAGCCTGACCCAACTCGATGCAAAAGAACGGTCAATGTCAACAAATAAGAACATTCCTTGAAGAATTTGACGAATATAGCTTGAAAGAATTTGGCTCCTTGAACATTAATAGTTAGCATATTTTTTCCTTTTTTCCTCTTGTATTTGTAATTTAAATTCAAACTAAAAAAATTTATTAACTCCCCGTAGACATAGGTCTTCCTTCAAAGTCCAATCCACGTATATCTTTGTGTTTGTGATATTTTCCTGTATGATGTTTATTTTTGTATATATATCATTTAGATAAAGAGTTAAATAGGAAAAAATAATTTAAATATAATTTAATAAATACGAATACAAAGTTAATATAGTTTAGAAATTAGAAATAAAAAAATAAGAAAACAAATTAAAAAAACCCACGGGCTGACCCCCGACTTGTGGACCGTAGGCTGAGCCGGACCCGACCTGCCCCTTTGCGGGTCGTGAGCTGTGCCAGGTCCAATCCTAGACTCAAAATCAGAGAAGTAGGCCCAGCCCACTCTGACCCAGGTGGGTCAGTCCGACCTAGCCTTGAACCCGGCAGGTCGGCTCTGAACCCGCCAGGCCAACTCATGAGCCTGAACCAGACCCACCATGCCCACCCCTAACTTTGATGCCCCATAGTTTCGCTCTCATTTCAGTTTGATACCCGTGTCTAGATTTTGCGAGATTTTTTATTAAAATGGTATCGCGATTAGATCCAGATAACCAAATGTCCCCGGTATAACAGTGAACTGAGGGTATCACGTAAAGAAAATATAACTAACTCTAGACGAGGGTATCAACACAAAACAATAATGAAACTTTAGGGCATAAAAGTGTTAAAAGAAAATACTTTGGGGCTATCAAAGTTAACAAAAGTGTAGATTTTAGGGTACCGAAGTGCAAATAAGACACATGTAAATCTACCTTGTCTTCACTTTGGGCTCTTCTTCCACAATCCAAATTTCCTGAAAACACCACCTCCATTGTTCTTCTTCTTTGGCGATTCATCATCCAAATCATCAGAAAACGGCGAGTTCATCAACTTCCCTGCAACCGACTGATAATCTGCATCCAAAGAGCTCGTCCTCTCCACAAACCTCCCATTGTTTCCTGTAGTTAATACAGCAGCCGCCGCCTCCGCAGCTTTCCTCCATTGATCAGACTGCACCCTCAGCCTTCGTAACTCCACTTCCATCTCTGAGTTCAGAACTTTCGCTGCTTCAAGCTGCTCAGTTTTCTTCTCAGTATCTTCAGTAATGTACTGAAGCTTCATTGTTGCTTCCTTTTCCTTGGCTTTCGCCAACTCCATCTCAGCAATGGCAGTTTCGTAATTCTTGCTGTTGTCTGCTTCCTTTTTTGCCATCTCCAGTTTCAGAAGCTCGTTCTCCTCAGAAATGCTCTGTAACTCGTTTTCCTTGTCCATGAGGTTTGCTTTGAGCTCTGTGATGTCTGAAACTGAGTTGTTGGCTCTTAGTTCATCGTTCATATCTGATATGCCTTGAAGTTCATTTTCTTTGTCGAGTAGACTTGCTTTCAGTTCACAAAGCTCGGCCTTCACATTCTTTAATGCTGATTCGAGTTTTAGTTCTCTTGCTTCAGACTCGATCTTTACTTGGTCAGCCATTTCGTAAGCTGATCGAATTTGTGAAGCAATCCGAGTTTGCTCTTCTTCGTACTTAATCTCAGCTGCTTGCAGTGCTGATCTCAGTTGTTCAACTTCTTGCTCTAGAGACCCAAATGTTATAGAATCACCAATATTAAGTTGATCGTCTTGCAATTTCTTCACAGTTTCTTCAAGTGCAATAACTTGAGCTCTAGATTCTTCTAATTCAGAGATTGAAGATCTGAAGAGCTCGAGGAGCTTTGCGCCTTCAGAACGAAGAGTCTCAACTGTGGCCTTCGCTACTTCGAGCTGTTGTTGAGTCTCAACTACTTTAGCCTCTGCCTCTGCTTCAGCTTTCTCACTGTTCCTTGCTTCAATTTTGAGCTTCTCCATATTTGAAAGAGTCTCAGCCATTTCTTGCTTCAACGAAGTGATTTCTTTTTTTGCTATTTCTGACTGCTTCACTAGTTCTTCTTCAGAATCAGCAGCCATTTCAAGCTGAGCCTTTAACCTGTGAATATCATTCATAGCAGAAGATAAAGCAGTTGAATCCATTGAATGTTGCTTTTGTATGGCTTCAATCTCAGATTGCCAAGCTCGATCACGATCTTGAGAGATCTTTCGAAGTTCTTGAAGACGGGACTCTTCTGCTGAGGAGAATTCCATGAGTTGGTTCTGCGAATCTTCCAGCTTTGCTGTCATGGCTTGGAGTTGTTGTTTGATGTCTTCTGCTTCTTTTTGAGCTTGCTTCTTTGATGACTCTGATGAATTTAGTTGATCTTTGGTTTTCTTTAGCTCCTCTTGGAGTTGAGAGAGCTGGGATTCTAATTCAGCTAGCTTACTTGGCCTCTTTTGCTACAATTTGGAAAAGAAAAGCATGAGATATGATATTGAAACCAAGCAGTGTTATCGATGCGCAAAGAGCAATGTGAAGCACAAAGAACCTTTATGTGCACATGTGAGAGGCAATGCGTGCGCCTTAGTGAAAGCGAGGCACACACCACACATAATTTTTCAAGATAGATTATCAAGCATGAAAGAACCAAGTTTATGAATTTTCATATATAAAAATATGTCAAAGTAATAATATCTACTACCAAATAACAAAATAAAGTCATAGTTTATAATGCTGACACACCTAGTAAAGTTCATAATTTTCCAAATCAAAAGTCAAACCAAGACTATTATAGAAGCAAAATCAAATAGTAAATGAGAACAAGCTAGGCTCCTCATTAGTCTGGTAAATAGCCTAGTGAGTTTATTTTTCTTCTTGAGATACGAATTGTTATCGGGTATAAAGACCCGATTGAAATGTTAAAGAAACATAACAAACGAGAGTATGTCCTGCATGAGCCTGTGCCAAGCGCCCTTGTGCAGAGCACTTATGAGACGCAAACGGTATTGTCTCATTACCTGTGGACTGCTTCTCCACCACCTCATATCATAGGCCGTATGAGGAGCAATGAGATGCGCACCTTTGATATCACCGAAAGTAAAGAGGGATTTTTTTTAAAAAAAAAATCTTGTAGGTTTCATACATCAATTAGAATTTTTTATTATTATTTTTTTCTTTTCTTATTATTATTATTATTTTGGCACACCATCCCTTGATAATAATACAAATAATGCAGCAATTTTAAAATGTCTTCAGGTTATTTCATTATATATCAGGATTCTGAGAAGTTCCTTGGTTCTGTAAGCTCTAAATAGAATGACCAACAAGTTACGAGAGAGGGTTTTTAATTAACCAGTCTATAGCTGGACCTTCTCTTTTCTTCATAGATTCTTAGACAACAAGCCTGAAACAACCTTAACGAATGTGATCCCAATTTAACAATATCTCATAAAACTAACGATAAAAATCTGATGTATACTTCTCAAACTCAACTGTGATCTCTAGCTAAGCCCATTTTGATAGGATCAGGCAAAATGATGCATTGATGATCGTCATGCCTTCATTTTGAGCTAGGCAGAGAGTATAGAAGTACAATAAAACAAATATATTCAAAAGAAACTGAGTCAGAAACTGTAACAGGGTGCTTGCAGATTCTTATAACTTCTATAAACATCAGAAGATTCAAAATTCTTATGTCAATAGAAAAATCAGATGCATTTGGTAAGTATTATGTTTCAATGGCTTTAAGATTAACATCACATTTTAACTAATTTGTAAGTTACACTTATCCAAAGAGAAGCTATAGCATCAGCAAATTCTACTACATAATAATACCTCAGTGGCTGGGCTTCGTGGTGAACGGCGATCGACAACTTTAGGGCTCTTGTCAGTTTGCAATTTTGTTGGAGTGCGTTTGGGGGTGGAAGAGTCTGAGTCAGCACCGGACTTGGTTGCTCGATTCGATTTAGGAGTGGCTGGAGATGTCCTCTGAGGAGCGTCTGATGACCCATTTCTACTTTCAAGCAAAGAAAGGAAACAATCAGAAGCATAGAAAGGATCGATCATTATAGATATAATTCTATGCAGTTCATATGTGACTACATAATTTTCGTAACAATGAGAAGATATATAGTTCGCCGTTCTGTAATATACCAAATGTTCAGAAAGTACACATTATACAGTTTATCAAGGGTCATTTTCATTTTCATGCAAATACAAGCAACATATAGCTGGGAACCAAAAGTTTTGAAGGTAATGGTTAAAATAGGAAACCAAATCACTAAGCCAGAAAAGGTTCACCATCAATTAAAATCCATCATTGTAGTATTTACCCCAACAGACTAACAACTTAACAAGCGGTTTCAATGAGAATGAACTAAAAACTTTCGAATTTATGTAGCTTACAAAGTGAGATAATCACAGAATGAAAACACTAATATAACCACTAATGTATAGCAAAGATTTCACATAAACAAATTTTAATCACAGAGCAAAAACTCTAATATAACCACTAATGTATAGCAAAAATTTCACATAAACAAATTTAATCAGCCAAGCATGAATGTTCCAAAAGCAAAGCCATTTCATGGACATGTGAACATACACTGAGATAGGAGAAAAGAAGGGGTGCACTTGTGGGAAGTAATTGGTTGCTCCCGTTGAGGACAAAAAATTAGATAAAAGCGATCAAAGTTATAATTAATGGAACAAGGGAGACCAAGAATGCACTTAAAGTACTTGATGGAAGCAATTAAGGATCCGATAGTGATAACTTAGCAGAGAAGAAAGCCATTAACAGACAGAATTGAAGAATAAAATTCACGTAGACGGACCCAAAACTTGGGATAAAAGCTATTGCTATTCGTCGTCGTCGTGGTTGTTGCCACTCAGTAATACGTAATCTTACCATTTGCAAGACAATAACTTTCGCTTCTTTCCAGAGATGTAGAGGCTAAGAAAGTCCAGATGTTATGATGCATTAATCATTAATTCCAGAATCCCGGTTGCAGCATTCAAACGTACAGGTTCCTAGGATGACCTAATTCATTTCTGATGTAAACCAACACGCTAGAGTTGAGCATAGATTTAACTAGCTAGGGCTTCAGCTGGGTTTTTGGAATTTTATGGAGTTAGTTTGAAGCATGACAAATAATCAGGCGTTTGATGCTTCTAAAATCCACATTGGATTCAAACACATGTACAAGCAGCATTTATTAATTACTAATAAAGACAAAGAACAACAAGAAGCCATACTGTTGAGAAAAGGACCCCATAGTAGCAATTTCACAGCAAAGAGGCCTAAACACGTGAAGGACACAAATTAATGCAAGGGGACCGTCATGAAGTCTAAAATCTTGCTCAAATAAAGATAAAAGACTGGAGATAATAACATAAAGGTTCAACTCACAGATCCCACATCTTTGGTTGCATTCAATTTTGTAATATCAGAACAATTCAATTGTTCACAAACAATGCTGCAAATGAAAGCAAATGAAGATTGAAAGCTTCAAAAGAGGGTAAAATCTTATCAACTCTTATCCAAAAAAACAAAAAAAAAAAGGTAACCAACATTATCTCCAAGCCAAATAAAAAGGAAGAGCAACAAGAAGAAGACATCAAGGACCCACAAAACTAACTTCACATCAAAGAAATGGCCAAACATGTGACGAGCATAAATAAATGCAGGATACCAACAAAGCTAAGAAACTATAATAAAAGATATGACTTCAACCATAGATTTGCCCCTTTTCAAAAGAAACTTCAAAAAGAGGTTTTAAAAAAACCCATAAATCAATGAGATATCAATAGAAAAGGCAAAAACCAAAATAACCCAAGTTGAGAATTCACCTAGTTTTTGAGTTCTGCATATTTTCCCACTTCAGTCTTCAACCTGCAACAATCAAAAGCACAAACAAATATAGCTTGTGACAGCAGTAAATAGATTGTGAGTGAAGTAAATATCTTGTGAATACAATTAATGCGGCCTCTAGATCAGAACGAGATCAACCAACCCCAATACAATTATTTAAAAAATTTATCTTTCAAAAGATGAATAGTGACCTTTTTTTATTTTACCAAAAAACTTTTAAAAGACTTGTCTGCGGCTCGTACACTGGACCTCTGACACCATTTGCTTGGCTACTGGTTCAAACGTAAAATAGGAACAAGGAATCAAAACAACAAGATACGCCATCGGAGCACCAGCGTTGAGAAATAACCAAAATGGGCTCGAAATTTCCCCAAATTTGGGCCTGGAAGTGAGGGCGTTTTGGGGAATTTCGATGGAAATAATGGGTCTCTTTGAAATTTGGATTTTAATGGTTGTGTTTCCTAAAAGGGGTCAAACATCGGAGAGGCGCGGCTCCTGAGGAACTTATCACTACCAACGAGAATAATAGAGGGGAAAAAGAAGAAGATAATATAAAATAAAAAAAATATCTTGAACTTTTACAGCACTCTATTTTGCATCTACAGGCAAAGAGAGAGAAAAAATAATGGGAGTGTAGTGATTAAAAAAGGGAGTATATTTATCATGGAAAGAACATAATGGGTTTAAAAAAATCAAAATATTGTCATTAAAGCTGGTTTTTAATTTGAAATAAACAGAGAAAACCCACAGATAATCATCTTCTTCATATGGGTCCTTTATATCTTTTACATTATTTGCACTTTTCAGATAAGAGATCTCAAAAGCCTGCAGCAAGTGAGAGTTTGAAGAGCTTTTTGCAACTGACATTATCATTTCTGACTCAAAAAAAAAACACCCATATACAGATTGTGAACCCATTTGAGAGGAGAACAAAATGCTAATAAAAGTGTGGAAAAAAATAGCAAAGAAACTCACAGTTGTTTTCTTCTTGTTCTTCCTTGTTCTTGTATCTCCCAAAAGAACAGAGAGAGAGAGAGAGAGATTGGCTTCAGTTTTCAAGGTTGAGGAAGACTGAGGAGGGGCTTTGAGATAGTGAAAGGGGTTAGTATTTTGTCCTCACCTGTTTTCAAAAGTTTTTTTTAACTCAATTACAGACTTGACCTGCACCCAGATAAATAAATAAATAAATAAAAAGTTAGTGGCTTTCCTTTCGCCACAATAAAAAAAAATAAAAAGTTAGTGGCGTGTTTACCTTGGGACGGAACTTTTTACTGTATGATTCAGGTCATAGGGCCTCTTGACTGTTGATGGGCTTAATGTAAAGTAAATCTAAGGCCCATTACTGGTTACGAATAATTTAATGCAGTGGTATCCCTATTCCAAATAAATGCATTTATCTTCTTTAATCTCTTTCTTGTTTTGTTAAAATGTCTTACTTCCTCTTGTTCTCTCTCCAACCAGAGCATACAATATTAAGGCATTTTTAAAACAATTAATTGATTTTTTTTTTAGAGACTATTTAGTCTAACAATACCAAAATCTACATATGAGAAGTTATAAGTTCAAATGAAGATTTTTCGAAGAGCATATTATTTGTCTAAGCTTAACATATTCAAATATGAGAAGTTCTACGAGGATTGTGACTGAGTCTGAGCGTTTGAAGCTATATGATTATTTTACACTATACCCACAAGATGAATGTACTGATAACTTATTTGTCATGGTGACTATAATAATCATAGTGACAACGAAGAAACGAACTAACCCTTGATGATTACTAATCACAACAACCTAAATGATTTAGTCTTATACGTAAATGATATACATCTCAATCTCAATTTCTAAGCAAGAGATAACCCTCCATCTAATCATTAAACACGGGGGAAAACTTTCAACTGCTCCTAGTGGTCCAAAGGCGATAAAACACTGAATCCCTGCGGATAGAAAATAATCTAATTATTTTAGATCACCAGCTATCCAGTGATAAAATTCTTTTATATAGTTTCACCACTTTTGGAATGTCAATTATACAGTAGCATTAATGTACAAAAAACACTTGATTGTGTAATTGAAGTTAATTGTGTATTTCTCAAGTATATACAAAAGAAGAAAATTTGATGCAAGTCTGAAATGTTGTAGAACAGTATAATATATATAATATATATATAATATATATATATATATATATACATTATTAATATATAATATATTAATATATATATAGGGTGAAGAGCTATAGGGGTAAAACTCCTATCAATTAAGTGGATAGCAAATAGATGTGTTCACAAAGTTTTTTAACATATATTGCCTAGGGATCCATGTATTATATAAAAAGTGTTTTATATTAATATATGTTGTGCTAGAACTTTGCTGGAAATCAAACTTAAGTTATTTAGAGTCTTAGGCTCTATTATATATATATAATTATATATTATATATATATATAACAGAGCAAGAGAGGAGGAGAGAGAAAAGCAGAGAGAGTAGAATGAGGAGAGATAGAAGAAGAGCATGGACACAACTCCTTTGTCCAGCCCAACTTTTTATCCACTCATACTATTTATATATAAAAGTCATTTCATATCATGCAAGGATCCCCTAGGAAATATCTAATGGTTAAGAAGTTTGGTGAATGTCAACTTACATTGACATAATTTATATATATTATATAATATATATAATATATATATATATATATATAATAATATATAATATATATAGCATGAGAAGAGAGGAAGAGAGAGAAATGGAGAACTTTAACCAAGTTGGGCTTCCAACAACTTGTTAGTGATGGCATAATTGTGCCCCTACATACACCTCGAACGTATAGAGCCTCAACTACCTTCACAATCCAAATGTAATGTAGACCAATGTTAGGCCACATCACTACCAAGTTCGTTTGGAAAACTGGTACAGAGTTTCTCCATTTTTCTCATATATATATATATATATATATATATTTATATATATTAATATATAATTTATATTATATAATATAATTTATATATAATTTAAAATATATATATATAATAGGGTAATTTTTCCTAATGTGACACATTAGATTCCTACCTAAGACGCGGCCTAAAATCAAATATCATTCCCTTTTTTTTGCGATCCCCTCCCTTGAACTGATCTACACGTCTTAATCAAACACATTAAATTTTGGGCGATGAACCCGTCGTGTTTTGATTCATTGTCTGAGGCCGTCAAAAAAGTTTTTTCTATTCATTGAAAACCGTTAAAATTACGGTGAGCGATGAAGGGTCAAAACACAAAGGTTCACTTAAAATTTGTGTGTTGGCTTAAGAACGTGTAGATCAATTACGAAGCGTCTGGATCGCCAAAAAAAAAAAGCGAAATGATGTGATTTTAACCGCGTCTTAGGTTAGGAACTAAAGTCACCTTAGAAAAACATTTGCATATATATATATATATATATATATATAGTATATATTATTATATATATATATTATTATATATATTGGATACCTTCTTTCATTACGATTGAACGCAGGATAAAGTGAGCAGCAACTAGCAACTACCCAAAAGTGGGGAAATAAAAGCATGACAAAAACAAAAGAAAAAGTTTGCCGTTTAGACCGTATAGAGGTTCCTTGATTTGCACTGGAAGTAACACTTCATACCTTATGACTTTGATTAAAGACCCACCAAAAAGAGAGAATATCAACAATAGGAATGAAGTGCAAAGGGAGCTTAAAGTTCCTCAAACCCTTTTTTGCTTCAAGTTGGGAACTCAAAAGTTCCTTCCATCTCTTTTTTGCTTCAAGTTGCCAAACCTTGGAAGCGCAAATACAACCTTATTTTTGATCCAATGCGGACCTCATAATTTGAGTGGATTCCTTGTGTGTCTCTTTCAAATTGCATTTGATGCAGGGATGCAACCAAATGTAGCATGAATACTGGTACTGTAGAGTTGGCGTCAGATCGAAGGATACAGGAATGCTGACATGCGGTCGACCGCGCATGGCGCGGCGGTCGACCGCGATGTGCACGAGAAATCAAGGGGAGCTTCTGCAGTTTCGGCGGTCGACCGCGCGTGGTCGACCGCGCTTTATCCAGAGACAGGT